GCCCGTCGCGCCCCGGCGGAGCCCGGGCCGCCGCCAGCGCAGCAGCGCCGATGGCAGGCACCCCCGTGCGTTCGCTGGCACGCGCCGCAGGCGCTACCCGCGGCGCTACAGCCCCCCGACTGCCGTCTCCGACACGCGCAATTCTCTCGTCGGGGCGGCGCCCCCGACGCGCCGCGCGCGCGCCGGCCTCGGGCGGGCCGCGCGGAACCGCGCGAGGGGCCGCCCTGTGGAATTCCGCCAACATTGCATCGGGAATATGACCGCCAGCTCGCCCACGCCAGCCAGGGCTACCCCGCTGCGCGATATGTTTTCAACGCGACCCCTTCCAGCCCGCAAAGGCCAGCGCCCGCGCTGCGCGCTGGCGCCCTGCCCCCAAGCGAAAGCCGAACATTTCGCGGGATCATTCCTGGCCGGCGCGAATCGCCGCCGCCGCGGCCCCGCGCGCGACGCCTGCGCGCGCGCGAATCGATCACGCCCGGCGCCTGCTCCGCGGACAAGGCGCCCGCGCGAGCGTGGCCACCGCCGCCCGCCGCCGCAGCTGGCAAAGACGCCACGCGCAGCTGCCCCCCCGCGCAAAGGCCGCCGAGAATGTTCCGACGAAGAAGACGAGGCGCCAACGCCAAGCTCGCCCTCCAAGGACGCCCTCGCGAGGCTTCCGCGCGACTGCGGGGCCCTCGCGCGCCCGACTCTTCGCGGGGCGCCTCGAACTCCCAGGCAGCCGCGCGCGCCGAGATCCGGGCGCCCCTTCTCTCTCCGCCCCCGAATTCCTCTTCGAAGCCATCCAACTTGACGAGGGCGCTGACCGGCAACTTGTCACGTCGATGATTACCTAGCCCGCCGCCGTCGCGACCCTCGTTCCGGCGCCAATCCGCATTGGCATCCCGGGGCGGGAACTCGCCCGGGCGAAGCTCCGCGCCCGCGTCTTCCCAGGCGGCGCCCTGCGCGATCTGGCCCTCCGCCGACATCGCCACCGTCGACCGAACGCGCATGCCGACGCAGCGTGGGCACATGCCGATGAGATGACCAGCATTGCTAACGCTCGGCGCTAGCAATATTATCATGGGTTCTCCCCGCCGAACGTCGCGCCGAGGCTGGCCCGCGGCTGGCGCGCGCGGCAGCGCCCCCCCTGCCCCCCCCTGCTTTTCTCGCGCGACGCGATGCTGAGCGGGGCCCCCCTAGCCGATGACCATCTCAAACCCATCGCGGCCAGCGGGTTCGCGCAGCCGCTTGTCGCCCTGACATGGTCGAAACCCCACCAGCCTTTCACCATTTCCCTCTGCTCGGCCGCGAACGCGCCGCCTTTCCGCACGGCCTCCACGAGCCCAGGCGCGAAAGGGCCCGGCGCGCGCCGGCGAGCGAGGCGGCCCCCGCAAATGTCCCGCACAGGAACGCGGCATGGACGACGCCGTCCAAGAAGATGGCCTGCCCAGTGCGAACGCGCACGGGCGCCTCGACCGGGCCCGCGCGCAGCTGCAGCGAAGACCGCCTGCCCTGACCCGCCACCGCCTGCCCTGGCCCGCCACCGGGCCAACGCGCACGGGCACCGCCCAGGCTCTGCGCGCGCGATGCGGCGCCGCGCCGAGATGCGACGCCGCGCCGAGATGCTAGGGCGGAAGCACGGGCACCTCCTCCACGATGACGGCCTCGAGGTTGCTCATGCGCACTGAGAACTCACGGCCCACCTCCTGCCGGGAAAGCGCGACCGCGGCGAGTCGCATGGGCCCTTGGCCGCTCAGCCTGAGCCCGCCGTGGATCGCCTCGCCGCCAACGCCGCGCGCGGCGCTGTTGGACGAGGCCGCGGTGAGCTCCGATCCCCGCCCGAGCACTCCTGCAAAAGACGTCGCAGCAGAATCGCCACCTCCGTCTTCCCCGCCCCGCCTTGTCCGTGCACCGAGATAGTCATCTGCTCCGCTGGGCCCGAGCTCCCCCCGCGCCCGAATGCTCGCCACTGCGCCGGCGCCTGGCCCGCGACCGCGGCGACCGCCGCCATCTGCCCCTGTTTGAACGTGACAGGGTCGCCCAGATAGATGCCCAACTCGCAGCGCAGCGGGTCCGCGACTTCGCGCCGTCGCAAAGACGGCCGCTCCTCGCCGCCGACCGCGGGCGCCGGCGGCCAACCAGACATGGGCTCGCCACGCGCCGAACTTGCGAGGCCACTGCCCCCGTCGCCCCCCCCCAGGCAAGCTCTCTGCGAATAGTTCAAAGTCGGGCCCCGCCCCGGCCGCGCTTCGCCCGCGTCGGACCGAGAACCTGCAGGCTGGAGGCCGGCGACTGCGAAGCTGGCTCGCCCCCCGCTGCTCGCGCCGACTGGCCGCGGCCCACGGCCCCGCGCATGCCCCTCCAGGAAGAGATCCTTGTAGACCAACGCTGTTGACGACCACAAACGCACTCGCACCAGGCCACCGCAGGCGCTCCCCTCTGCGGAACGAGCCGCGCCAACCTCGCCATGCGCCCCCCTTCTGGGCCAAACCGCCCAGCGCTCCGCCGCCTGCGCCCGCCCCCCCATCCTCGCCCGCACCCCCAGCAGGGCGATTCTCCGCTGCCTGCAGCTCTGACTGCAGGAACTATTTGCCGCCCTGTCTGAACTCCCCTCGAAGCCGCATTCGCGCCTCTGCCTCGCGCCGAGGTTCGCTGCGACCTGAACTGTCCAGCGCGCCGCGAACTCAGCGGTCTCGGGGCGCGAGCCGAAGTGGCCCACTCGGTACTCGGGGCCCGTGTGCACATCGATGGCCTCGATGATGAACCACTTCCAAGCTCGCCGCTCACGCTCCTCGCACATCCTGGACAACGCCATCAGCTGCGCCCACCACTCCTGCCAAGGAGGCATACGTGTCACGGTCGCGTCGACGCCGGCCCCCCCGCAAGGCGCCCTGGCGGCAGCCCCCTTTCCAGCCGGCTGCAGAGGACGAAACAATGCATGTGAACAGCGTGTTCATCTCTGCGTCCTTTTCCTTCAAACGCATGATGAAGCCCTGCAACTTGGGCACCATGAGCGGCTCCCCGACGCAAACATTCTTCACTCGGGTGGCGGCGGTCGGGTGCGCATCCGCAAACGCGTACGTCGCAAAGTCTTTTGCGTCGAAGTGGAAAAGTTTGCCCTGCGCAGTGTGCACGTACATGGCGTAAGGACACATGCCCATGAACTTCAGGGGCCCCTGCCGCCGCGATGGAGCCAATTCGTGTTCATGTCGTGGTTCGGCAATGCCCAAAATGCGACAGCCTGCTTCACCCGCCGCAGCGGCAGCCGCGCCCTCCCCGACAGCGCTCGACGAATTCAGGGCGTAGCGCGGCGCGCGCCTCATCCAACGCATCCCTGACACCGCCCCCCCTTTGCCGTCGGAATCCTCTCCTGCGGCCAGCTGGTCCACCTCGATGTGCGCAGAAACGGATCGTTCCACACGTCGTCCTTGCCCTTGAAAACGGCGAACGCTACGACCCCCTTGCAAAAAAGAGTCCAGATGTCATGGGACGAATAGCATCGTGCCTATACCGAATATGGAACATCATCCCGTGCAGTTTCTTCAGAAGCGCTCTGTGCGAGCTCGTGGTGAGCTTGATAACAGGTCGCCTGCCAGAGTCGAGCACCCCGCCCCGCCCGTTGCGACGACCGGCAGCAAAAAACCCGGGCCCGTCGACGTCCCGCTCGGCCACCGCCCCCTCCGCCTCCCGCTCCGCCCTCTGCTGGAGCGTGAAGAAATCCAATCCAATACACTGCGCGTGCAGCCCTCCGAGGTCGCCCGCAGCATCATCTTCACCATCGTCACCATAGCCATCATCCACATAAGTATCATCAGCATGATCACCATTATCAGTATCATCATCATCATCATCATCATCATCATCATCATCATCATCATCATCATCATCATCATCATCATCATCATCATCATCATCATCATCATCATCATCATCATCAACACCATCATCATCATCACTTCCTAAATCATACTCGTCATCATCAGAAACCCCATCATACACATCAATCATCCGCATCAGCATCATCATCATCATCATCATCATCATCATCATCATCATCATCATCGTCGTCGTCGTCGTCGTCGTCGTCGTCGTCGACATTACGATTACCACTCCATCATCATTTGCATCATCAACATCATCATCATCATCATCATCGTGAACCTCATCATCATCACATGCATCTGCATCGTCATCGCCATGTTGATCATCGTCTTCATCTTATCTGTCATTATCGTCATCATAACCAGCAGCAGCATCTTCATCTGCATATTCCAGTTCTTCATCATTAACATGACCAGATTGTAAGCATCAGCATCATCATCACCATCGTCCTCATCAGCATCATATTCATCGTCACCTTCATTGAACTATGCATGTCCTTCTCGTCATCATCACCAACAACATCACCAAAATCATCGTCATGATCATCACCGCCATCAGCATCAGCATCACAATCACCATCATACTCACCACAACCACCATCATCACCATCGTCACCATCATCATAATCATCATCATCATCATCATCAGCAGCAGCAGCATCCGCATCATCTGCGTCGTCATCTTAAGATTCACCTCTATGCTGGTTAATTGCATAGTCGTCTTCACCATCAGCTTCATCACCATTATCATAATAATCGTCACGAGTACCATCACCATTACCTAAATCACCATCATCACTACCATCACGATCATCACCAGCACCATCATCCTCACCATCAGCATCATCATCACCACCATCACCATCAGCATGACCTCCTGTATGATCATCATCATCATCAGCAGCATCATCATCATCATCACCACCATCACCATCATCATCATCACCACCATCAGCATCATCATCATCATCATCATCATCTGCATCATAGCCATTAGCATCATCAGCATCATCAGCATTGTCAACATCAGCATCAACGTCATCATCCCCATCGCCATCGTAATACTCATCGTCCTCATCGTCATCATCATCAGCCGCATCCTCCCGGGATGGGACGAACGCAGCGCACTCGCGCGCGCGC